AAAAGACTAAAAGAAAATAGAAATCTCAAATCCCAGGCCAAAAAAAGGAGGTTACATTGTCACATTCTCAATAAATCTGGCTAGCATAATGCCTGGCTCTACATTTGCCTCTTGCAAAAGATGCCTCCTGACACACCTATGAAAACAGAGAACAAATAAAGGTTTAGCAGAACTGTCACGCAAAGGAATAATATAGTTTTTATCAGATTGAGAAAAAGACCCAAGGAATCTCTGATTGTAGTAATCTGTTTGGCAGGGTGTGGTGAAACTTGACATGTTAACATTTGTCAGATGGATTCTGATTAAGAAACTGCAGATAGCTAGAGCTATGCAGATGTCTTTCGAAGCATTTGTTATGAATTGCACCTGAGCGCTGTTAATAGTACATGTGAACTTCTGAAAGAAAAATTGTAATAACAGAGCTTGATTTTCAACAAATGTAACACTTTCCCAGCTTTGATTTGATTTGGGAAACGATTCAACTGGTGTTTGGAAAAGGAAATGCCAAAACAAAAACAAAAGCAAAAATCATATCTAACAAATATGATTTTAACTAATCCCGGAGATCGCATCACACTGTTAGCACACAATGAAATCTATTTCTCACAAACAAGAAGATGGAGTAAGTATAGGATTCATTACTCATGCCTGAAAAATCATCCCCTTCTGAACTTTTGTACAGCCTTGATACACAGGTGAATCTGCCGTTTTTTTGTCTTTGAATTTGAATTTGTCTTTATGCTTGAATTTGTGGACTTTGCAAAATGCGCTACATATACACATACATTTGAGCTACTCATTCTTTTTGTTCATTCCTGTATATTTTCTCCATGAAATTTACCATCCTGCACAGATATATATGTATATTAATGAATCATAAATGTAAGAAACAATCTTATTACAATGATCACATTATGATACCTTTTTGCTGCATTTCAGCAATTGCCACAAGTTATTCCACTTTTCATCATGATCTTGTCACATTTTGCTATGATGCTACTATCAACCCCCACCTCCTTTGCTACATCTGTTGGAGATTATTTAATCTCTTTATTTATAGAGATTAAATATAATATAGAATTCCCTCAGGGAGATAGGGCAAGTTATAAATAAATTATTATTATTTTTCACCCCTTTCCCCTACAGGTACCTTTCTATTAGATGGCAAGATTGTTGGAAAAATGATTAAAGAGGATTCACTCCTTAGAACTAGATTCCACGGCCAGGGCTCACCATAGCAAGCAGTTATAAAGAATCATATCAATAACTGCAGAAATTCCCATGCTCTTGCAAAGTCATTTTTGCAAAAACCCCTTTGAATCCCATGTCAGGAGAAAGGTATGATACAAATTAAGTAAATAAAGAATCCAGTATCAAATTAAATAAATAAAGAATCCGGTATCAATAAATTAGTAACACTTCCTGGGCTGATCCTATCCCTTGACCTGATGGAAATATCAATTGCCAAAAGAATTGCCTTCATTTTCCCTAGTAAATTAAATTGGAGGTGGTGGGGTAGAGATTATAATCATCACAATAGTGCCAAAATTGTGACAAACCACCTCATCGCATTTACTTTGAGAAGTCCACTCTTCCACTCCAGCTGGAGAAGTCCACTTCTTCCACTCCAGCTGGAGAACTGGTGGGCATGCTGCCCATCAGACAATGTAAGGGAGATTCCTGTGGAAGCCCCTTCTCCAATTAGAGGGAAACCATTGTATGATGCTTCCCTCTCAACACGGGAGCCTTCCCGTGTTGTGCTGATTCCAATGGAGCCAGCACAGGGCCTATCCAGGAGGGTGATGCTTTCCCCAAGTAATGAGGAAAGCATCACAGAGAGAAGGCTAAGCACAGGGTGACAAATTCACCCCGCTGCTCCCTCTTTCCTCCTGGATGCTTCAAGTTCATTTGATTACGGTCAATGACCAGTACGAGAGATAGTTCATAGCTAATATGATGAGGTCATAAGTAGTGATCATTAACATGAAATAGTTATTGTTAAATAATGGTATGGACAATCACTACTTAGGGCGTCATCACAAAGGCCAGGTGAAGCATCCTGTTTCTCTGAGAAAGGAGAGGGGCAGTGGGGTGAAACTGTTGCCCCGCACACAGCTCCCATCATGCTGGCCTCGTAATAGCTCCAGTGGAACCAGCACAACACAGGAAGCCTCCCGTATTGTGAGGAAAGCATCTGGCAACATTTTCACCCCAGCTGGAAGAAGTCACATGTCATATGATGGCCAGTACCAAGACATTCAGGAACCTAATAAGGACTATAAATGAAAATGGTATCAAAAAGGTAGGGGATCTCATGGAACCCAATGGAGAAATAACAGATTGGGACAAGATAAAAGACAAAGTTGGACAAGGGAACTAGATAGTGTGGTTAGGCCTGTCTAGTAGAGCTCAGGCCATGAAAAGAAGAGAGGTAGCAGAAACTCCTCTAGAAGGAATACTTAAAAGGAAAGCAGAAAAAGATAAAGGAATTATTGGGTTATTGTACAAGGAACTAATCACCTTATCTTACTACACAAAAACAACCCTTATAGAGAACTGGAAACAAGTAAAAAAACTTTAGCAAGAAAATTAAGCATATGAGGATCAAAGACATTCAAAGGAAAATAATCTCTTAAATGGTACAGAACCCCCCTTCAATTAGCTCACATAATGAAAAATGTTTCCAACAAGTGTTGGCATAATTATTGGGGGGAAAGGTTCATTCATTGTAGAAAAATTCAGAACTATTATTGTAAAATAAGAAATGCAATGGAAAAAATAACAGGGAAAGAATTAAAGTGGGATAAAGCCAGATTCATATCTCTCACTATACAGGCAAAAGAAGGTAACAATACTTGGACAGAAATCCTAAAATATATGACAGCTGCAATACAGGTTATGATATCCTGAGGATGGAGAGACAATACAAGATGGGATTTAGAAACTTGGTGGGCTTATCTATCGGAATATATAATCAATGATTTCATTAATCAAAGGAAAAACAGTATATAAATAGTCATACAAAACAAGACTGATACAGGAAATTTATTCTAATCGACAAAATAGATGGGGATGATAGATATATCATTGTGAACCAGGCTTTCCACACAGTTAAATCGATGCAATGACATCATTTAGAATTGCTGTTCTAGGAGAGAGGGGGGAATGGGGAATGGTATGGGTAATGGGTGATACACATCTAAGGAATGCATAAAGTGTCATGTAAAGTAAATTTACTTTTGGGATAATGTATATTGATATAATACTTGTATGGTAAAAGTTTGTTAATTGATGGGATGTATCAACTAAAATAAATAAATAAATAAATAAGTATGATGGTCATTGTGAGGCTCCATCCATTAGATGGGGCGCAAACATCCCAGGACACTAAATTCCCCCCATTTGATGAAGTCATTAGTCATAATTTTGAGGGGGTTTAAAGGAAGCAAGGAAGAAAGATGGTCAGGGTTACCAGTTATGGAAGAAAATATAAAAGGTTTCTTCAATAACTGTTTTTTGTTAGATATAGCAATTTCTTGCTTGCTCTCTTTAACCTCCCAATAGCCTATTTATGAAAATATATCCTAGTTTTTCAAGGTTTATGGTGGGCTCCATATGGAATTTCATTTATAAGACGTGATCAGTTTTAAATGGATTTATTCTAAATTTGATTACATGGAGATCCAAACCTATGGACATGATCCAGTGGTAGATTTTCACTGGTAGAACAGTAGAATTCAGTGGAGAGAAAAAGGAAAAACTCCTCATCCATTCCCAGTCCCTGCAGTGTTTTCATTGAGTTTTTTCAGATGCCACTGAGGGTTGTAAGGGAAAGGAAAGGGAAGAAGGTTCACTAATGTCTTGTCAGTGTAATGCCACATTTAGCTCCATCAATGCACATTTGATAATAGAAACACAATTTTTGCCCTTTCTTTTCTTAAAAAGCTCACTGATTTTTGAAACTGACACTTTAATTCCCATGATATACAAGGAAAAACTGAGAATATCTCTTTGCCTTGTATTTGAAGCAACTACTTTGTACTGCTAAGGCCAGAGGAAATGCATGTATTTTTTTTAAAAAAATCACTTTAAATTGCACATGTTATTCCAGTCTTTATGTGTTCAAGGCTATCATAACAATATCAGCATGTGTGACCAGTTCTGACTATCTAATCCCCAATATATTGTTTGACTTGCCCCAAACTAACTCATAACTCAAACTGGATTGTACATAAGGAGTAGATACCGGTGACTAAGGAAGCATGTAATTAAATCAGGGGAAATTTGCAGAACTCAACTTTTCCTCTCTCAACATTTAAATTATGCAGGAACACACCCAACATGATGTCAGATATGGCTTTCAACCAGGTAGTTAATGTTGGGGCAGAAATATGGCATGAACAGTGACAGATATAATTTCCAGCCTTTGATTTGCAACCCAGATAAGAGATATGTTTATCCTGATTCATAGCTACAGGCACAGGATGCAAAAGAAGTAAATAATAAATGCAAAGAAAGTGTAATCTTGGGATACAGGCTGACATTGGCTAGAAGGTTTCAGCAAAGAAGGTCCACGTGAAACTATCTCTGAAGAGAAACGTGATTTTCAATTTCAGATGAAGCACCTGGCAGAGTTCAGAGTGCTGAGAGACAAATATCCCTGCTTGCACAAATTCATCAGAAAAATGAAACACTTAAGGAATGAAAAAAGAGCCTGAACATCAGCCAAGCATGGTATACTTCTCTCAGAGGAGGAGACTCATAGTAGCACATTCTAAGCATCTAATCAGAATCGAATTTCAAGTAGCTTGATGGGACTTACTCCAAGATGCAGGTGTATGCCATAGATTTTGAAACTAGATAAAGATCTATCAGGTATGTCAACAGACACGTTCCTGCCTTGTTTGTTTGTTTTTGAACAATTGCTGGCTCAAGCCAAGGATGAGAACAATGAGTTTTCCATCAGCCCATTCACACTACACAATTTTAGTACCATATTCCACTTGAACTGTCATGGCAAATTCCTACCTTCTAGTCCTCTTACCAGGAGAAAGGCAGAATATACAGGTAGGAAGGGACATTTATAATCCTGAGCCAAAGAGCTCTAGAACTTCATGAAAGGACAAACCCCAGACCTTGGGAACACTACTGTTCTGGCTTGCAACTCCTAGAATCTGTCCACCAGCCAGCTGGACATACTAGGTATTGTAGTCCAAAGTAATATTTTTCTTCAAATTCAGATTTTCTGAACTCATTAACTGGTGTTCAAAGGTATGCTGCTTTTATTCAGAAGGGTCCCTTTAGGTGCCATTATTAACCAGAAAAAACCATCTAAACCATTATGAATCTCTGGTGCATTGAAAAATGGGTTACCCTCTGAATGTTCTTGAGCTGAAACCATCATTATCCTTGTTTACTTTGTTACGCTAGCTAATTAGACTTGGGGAGGTCACAGTCCAAGATAATCTGGAAGGCCATACATTCTCCTACCCTATTGGCTGAACCAACTCATTTGTTTAAAGGATATTTTCTACTACTTGGCATCTTCAACCCCATACCTGCCAGCATTTTACAGATGAGAACTAGGATGCATGTGGCCACTTCACAAAAGAATGAGGCCATGATGGCAAATGTTGTTAATAAGGAAGATCAGACAAGCTAGAAGAGGCTGCAGAAGTTTGCTTTTGCCTGAGTCTAACAGGAAGGACAAAATTTCCCTCTTCTCCTCTTCTCTCCCCACTCCTAAGTTAACTGAGTGCAAACTACTTTCCAATTTTGAACTCAGAATACAGCACCTCAAGTAAGCCGAGGACAAATTGGGGAGAGAGTAAATGGGGCATTTTTAAAGCAACTAAAAAGGGATATGAAGGGCAATGTGTCAGGACTGCCTGTGCCAAACTGGGACAGCTGAAAGGTATAAAATCCAGTGCCTAAAACACTGTGGAATGATAAAAAGTGAATTCAGTGAATCTTCTCTAAGGGCCAATCTATGTTGCCAGAAAATGCAGTGTTGATGGTGCATTAGCCTGCACCCAGGTTAATGCAGATTAACCTGGGGTAAACCATTTAATATGATTTACACCCAGGTTAAAAAGCAGCTGCAAAGATATTTATTTTCCTTTGCAGGTATGGAGGCTATGGAGACAAATGCCGGGGATCACCAGGTAACCAGGTATCCAGGCTTTCCTTTTCTTTTGAGGGTAAAATTGGAGGGGGAGCAGAAAGGGAAGGGCGTGGGTGTGGTTGGGATTATGGCCAAATGCAAGCTTCCAATGAGGTCCCCCCCCACACACACACACACACACAGCATGAACTGGCATTCTGAATGCTGGTTTGTTCCACATTTGGAACAATGAGGATGCTAGACCTACGTGTACCTGCCCATTCTTTGATAAACTGCTCCTGACCTGCCCTGATGAAGCCCAGTAGTGTGCTTGAAGACCGTTGGGCATCCAGATGACTCACCAAGAGGAGAGCACATTGAGGCCACTGCCATGTGTTACTGGCCACAACAGCTCCCTCACAGAAGCTTGCTGGTGACAATCTTTGGGAGAGCCGATTGTGGCTGATGACACAACAGTGAGTCTTATTTCATGTATGGACACTGGATTGCACTGTCTCCAAAATACCAAAACCATTCTGGGGCTTACTGGATGTTTTGGAGTTTCTCCTTGCACTGAATTAACAGTTGAATGCAGCACTTCTGCTGCGTATCTAGCTGTATGTCATGTGGGCTCCCACAGCATTTAATAGGCTCATATAGACACGACCTTAGTTTGGACTCAACCCAGTGCATTTTCCTCTTTGAAAAAGCTACACATCAGTTTCAAATCAAAGAGGAAAGCTGCTTTTCCTTTAATAAAACCCAGGCATCTCCTTGATTGTTGTCATGTGCCTCGATTGCAAGTGGCATTCACTTTATTTTGCTTGGAGGCAACTAAAGCTAAGAATACAACACCAAACCTCATTTCATGTCCAAATTCACTTCTCTACACATCCGAACCAATCAGGAGATGTTTTCTCTAAATACTGCTAAGATTTCCTCTTGTTGTTTCAGGATATTTTTAAAATGTGCCTCTGAGCTGAGAGCTTGGGTTTGATTAATGCATCGTTTCCTTTTTCAAATTAGAAACAGGATTTCTGAGTGATGGTTTAATAATTTTTGTTTGCTCTTCTGCTCTTTTCCAGGCAGGCTTAATTGCAGCCTGGTTCCCAGGCCTGATTAGGAAGATTGTACATCTGACTGCAGTTTAAGACAGTGCTTCAAGGCAGGAACTCAGACTTTTTAGTTCCACTAAATGGGAACAATCTGGGAAGGAACCAGGGAAGATACCAACAAGTACACTTTGGTATATTCTGATTAGAGAAACTGAGCTGTGGCCCAGACAACATTAGGGTCTGAATATGGGTTACATAGAAAGATGGATAACAAAGCCTTGGCACTATTGTGAAGTAAAAAACAAACAAAAATAAAGCCACTTTGAGGAGGGAGACCATAGAAGGAGAGAAAGCAAGAGAGATGGAATTTTAAAAGCCCCAATGCCATAATAGAAAAAGTGGAATGGTGTGGAATGATTCTTTACTTTGGTAGGTTGGGAAAGATCTGAATTTTTAACAAAGTTCCAGCATTTTATTTCCTTTGTTACCGGTCTTCTATTTGGACTTTCACCCACTAGGACCAAGCTCTAAGGCTGGATCTACACTGCCTTATATTCTAGGATCTGATCTCTGATTATCTGATTTGAACTGGATTATCTGAAACGACACTGCTAGATAATCTGGTATCAGATCATGGGGTATAGACCAGTGTAGATCCAGCCTGACAAATCAAACCTTGTCTCCAGAGTCATATAATTCTTGTCTTACTATGCTAGAGCGTATTAAAACCTGGACCTCAGCACTAGACAAGGCAGTTATCATGATGCTTTGGGGGTAACTACATAGTCATCCCACAATCTGGCTCAGGAGTTGCATGGCAGTTACAGCAACAGCCCCTGACCTGGCCTAGTAGCTACATGGAGGCTGCATTGATGACTGGCACAAAAAACCAATTCACTGCTGCTCACCTGCCACCTACACCTTGCCCCCCTCATATCCTAGTGATGCCTGGTGGACACCAAATAGCATCAGACTTTCCTTGGTACATAGAAATGATATCCATTGTGCTGGGGACACAAGAAAAGAGGGGAAGGGGGAAGGATCCTGGATATTTAGAAGCAGGGGAGCATCTAATCTACACTGTAGAATTAATGAAGAGGAAGCTAAAGAACTTGTAAAATGATAACTCCCATAATTTCATAGCATTCAGCCAAGGCAGTTAAAGGTGTGTCAAACTGCATTAACTCTACAATATAGATGCACCTTAAGGACCTCATCACATTGATGAAGGGCAGCAGGGTGATTTACCAGGCTCTTTGACAAATCTGCAGGGCAGCGGGGCAGTCCCACATCCTCTCCTGCAATGAAGCTTCCCCATCACACGTGGGGAAGCATCACCATGCGGCTTCCTCTGCACTGGTGCAACATGGAAAAAACATTTAATTTAGTAAGTGAACACACACACACACACAAACCTGAAGTATCTAAGAAAAATGGGTGGAAAATAATGCTTTTAAAAGTCAGCTCTTCTCCATGCAATTTTGCGTCATTAAGGAAAGTTCAGCTAAAAGATTGCATTCGGTTAGAAAAGATGAAGAATGAAACAAATGGAAGTGGATGGAAGAGGTGATAACAATTAAATTGTTTTCTGTTCAGGGATGAATCTACACTGTAAAATGAATGCAGTTTGACACCAGGTTAGCTATTTTGGATCAGTACTATGAAATCATGGGAGTCATAATTTTGTGAGGAACCAGCATGCTTTAACAGAAAAAGCTTCTAAAATTACACCTCCTGTGACTCCATAGCATTTCATGCACCCTTGGAAATGGAGAAAGACTGGGGGAAAACCCCTATACTATAATGTGCCATCTTCTGCAGTAACTTTATTGACCTTCTTAGCATCTTAATGGTTTTCAAACTAAACAAGTTTGAAGACTATGTTTGGAGAAAATAAAACTATCTGGTATTTTGATGACTTGAGGGAGTGGGGAGAGAAATGAGTTCCAACCTACCCAACAATGTTTCTTGTATTTTCCCCAGACAGAAACAAAGTCTTTAGCATCTTCCATGGGAGTATTTTATCTTGTATTTTATTCATACATTCATACAGAGCTTGGGAACAAGTGGTTTTATGTGCTAATTAGTTGCCCTTTCCCAAAAAGAAGCCTAAAGGATTTTTTTTTGTTATCAGGCTCTTACTGGCAGAGATGGGAATAACTGGTTTACATCTAGCAAATACATATGCTGATTAGCAACACTCACTAATCTTGCAGAACAACAAATACAAGATTTTGCATTTTCCATGGTTGAAGAGCATCGCTGAAAACTGGAAATGGCAAAGACTGAACTTGGGATCTTGAACCCTTGCAGACAATACATGCGGTGTAGATGTTGCTCTCTTGGTTCTGAAAAGAGTGATAGGAGCACAATTATTTTATAGTGCCAAAAATATTTATATATGCTTAGCGACATTGAGGACAGAAAAATGTGACCCTTTCTTCCCCTGATCCTCCTGCTCACTTCCTGTGATACCCCTTACCTGCAACAAGCCATTTTCCTATTAATTGAACATTTCGTTTTAATCAAGGCAATAATATTTTCCAGAACTTCCCACTGGTGCATGCCTTTGACTCATTACAGAAGCAAAAAAGCTTTGAAGTGTATCTCACAATTGTTGAATTAGCACAATATCAAAAGTATTTACATTACAAAGTGCTTTTAAAAATAAATAAATAAATCAAGATGCATATTACCAGAGCCTTAAAACTGTACAAATAATTGAGTCTTCTGTGGCCATGCCGTTTCTAAATAAACTGCCCTATAAAATCTATAGTCAGGTATATGTAGTCCAAGAAATCTGGAAAAGGCCAGACTAGGGAAGACAATTCCAAAAATACATTAAGGTTTTTGAGGGGTTCAATAACAAAACTTACCACTAGGGGTCAATGCTGACAGTTTACATGCCATTCTCAGTAAATGTGTTTCAAAAATTAATTAATCTGGTAGTAATTCTAGTAGTCTCATTTGTTTGCTATCTTTCTTGTGGAGTGGGGCTCAAGGCAGCTCACACACAAATAAATAAATAAACCAATAAAATTTAAAACAATAAAAATCATCATATTAAAATCATTTAAAAGGAATACAAAATGAAAAATAGGAATGAAGTACATAGCCCCAATATGAAATCTCCCTGAAAGTGATTACATATTAAAGGTCTGCTTCAAATAAAGGTCTTTGCCTACCAGCAAAAGGAAAGCAGGGAAAAGGACAAGCCAGCTTCCAATGGAAGGGGATTTTAGAGGACTGAAGCAGCCTCTCTCTCTTCCTTCCCCCCCCCCCCAAAAAAAAACAAGCCTGTTATGGTGGAAGGATGTGGCAAAAACATTCCCCTGAAGATCTTAAAGCTCTAGCAGGTTTGTATAATCTCTAAGATAATCTGGATCTAAGACATATAGTAATGAATTGATTAATGCAAAACAACAAACTATTTTCTAGGTTAATATCAATCTCTCTACTTCTGATATTCTACCTGAATGAATGAATTTGTGGAATTAAAAAAGTCTCCAGCTGCATTTCCATTATTCAGTCCCACTCTGTTTGAGGAACTTTCTTCAAAGAGAGAACACCAACTTCAGGAACCCACTCATGCTATGTACTGTATGGATTGAATGTTGCCCTTCTTTAAACCAGATAATCAATCATGGAAAGTATGGTGTTTATACCAAGGTAGCTTTAACTTGGCTTCTTGGTCAGAAGGAGTCAATGTACCATGTTTGCAAATGTTTGAATTGTTCAGAAAACAATAAAAGTAATACATTTCACTAAAGTGAAGGCATCACATGAAATTTAGATGAGGAAATAACAGAGCAAGGATCTTATGCCACACTAAATTTTCTCCATTTGCTAATGCTGGTGTAACAGAATCCAATGGATGTCTTCCCACGACACACAATCCATCTCACCAGTGTGTGAAGACAGAGAAAAGACCCTTTTCAAGAGTCAGGTGTTCCCACAACTCCTGATTGAAGGAAGCATTCAGAAGCAGAGGAAAGCAGGAAAATATTGTAGCAT